TGTAAAATAATCTGAATCAGTAAGAATTATAATTATTTTTTTAGGACCTTTCAGTAATTTCCACTTCTGAACTTACAGACCTTATCTAAGAAATATTTATTTTACTTGGCCTTCCTATGGGAAGGATAAAAAATCAAATGTTTTCTCACGTAATTCTGAGGTGATAATAATACGGTGAAATTGTACAGTAAATGATGGCGTTGTGCTTGAAAATCAAACCATATTTACTGACAATAATATACTGTCTGAAATAAATGAGCGGAACTATTAATTTAGAATATAATATAAAAGATAGAATTTGCACAAGTATTTGATAGTAATCTTGCAGATCTTTCTTTTCATTGTAAATCTCATGTCAGCAATGCATTTTTTTGATAATTCATCGTGACTAGAGAACATAACTTTCATTTAGAATGAATGCAACCCATACAAATTAATATTTATTTACTACACTGTGCTTCACCATGTGCAGTCATACTATTTATAATTAGATTTTGTCAAAGGTATAATGTTAATCAGTCTTTTTGTTGTACTTTCGAAAGTAAACGATCTGTTTGTCGTTATGCACGTATGGCTGCCAACTATGACCCAAACCCTAGATTCCGAAATGAACAGATATTAAGTTTGGACATGGACTTACCTGGACGTACTACACGGGATTATGAACCACCTCAATTGGCTCCACAGGTGGTGGCTGCATTGGAAGCTGCACTACAGGATGAAGAAGATTTAGAATTAGATGGAAGGTATTGACACTGTTGTATAAATCTGATACACATTTTAGCTTACACTCCATTGTTTTATTTCAAAGTAACTCTTTTAGGAAAAAGCGATCCAATATTTTTACTCATGGTTGTTCATTTAAAAACAGTTAATCATAAAATTTCTCAAAAGGTTAATCTGCAAAGAACTAACGCAGTTGCCATTGATTAGCCTAACAATAAATTATTATTACTCCTAACCCATGAAATATATTTTAAGTGTGAAATACTGATGAGCCTTACATTAAAATGAATCGGCTATTCAGTGATTATCGATGTATTTAAGTCAGATCAATCAATGTTGTTAACTATGATTTGTAAATATCTTATACTTTGACAATAATGATTGTCATTAGCAAATAATCAGAAAAGGTTTTGTGGAGATTTTAGTCATTTCAATAGCTGAAATCATGAGTTAATTAAAGCTAGACCACCATGGAAAACCTGAAAGCACTGGACAGCCGTTACGTCCTAGTATGGAACTAATCAGCAGTGCGCATCCACGATCTCGCCAGCAGCAAGATTCGAACCCAGGACCTATCAGTATCGCAAGCGACTTCTTAACCACTAGACCGCTGAGCTGACCGGCATCCAACAGTGTTAATATTTCATCTTATAAATGAGGAATCTCATAATTCATAATAAAATATTCTAATTAACAATTGGTAATAATGTATCAAAATGTGATAATTTATAGGTTTACTTTTTTATTTTTTTTAACTTTCATATTTAGTCCTTCACTATTTCAATCTTCATTGTCTAAATTGAAGAAATCAGAAAAACGGTAAGAAAATTTTTAATGACTTTTAGAATAATTATCAATTTTATTTAAGCTATTTATATTCAATAGAGTTAACTCCTAACATTCATTATGAAATAGTTGATTTTTCATATCTATTTTTTATTTTTACCATAAAAAAAAGAAAATACTGATTAAGTTATACACATTTTTGACAGTATTTTTTTGCCTTTCTTTTTCCTTGACCTAAATTTACTTTATTCCAATGTTCTTTTTTTGCTTCGTTATTTTTCCATGATAATAATTGAAAGAAAAAAATTTATCTTAACAATTTATCTTAGTTTTTATGATATTACTGATAGAATTTTTTATAATTTCTAAAAATGTTTGTTAATATTTTAATGAGATTATAATTTATGAACAAACCAATCAGGTATAAGATAACAGGTCTCGGATTTTGGCCCGAAATTCACTCATTTATTCGGATAAATAGAGTTTTAGCATTATAGCTGATGTCAGTTTGTAATGAAAACCCGAAATCTAGTTTCTAACTTGAATCATCAACTGTAAATCATAATTTGAATTCCTCACACTGGTTTATGATCCTCGTCTGGTGCTAGTTATTAGGTGGATTTACTCAAGGTCAATCTGGCATCGCTGAAATGTCGTCCATAAATTATAATCTTACAATATTTTCTGTCAAATTTCCTTTGTTTAACTTTTGTCTTCTAATGAAATTAGTAGTTTATAACATTAATTTCTAGCGATGGTTAAATAAAAAGAATAAGTTAAGACTGATTTCACAAAATCCCCGTAGATATTAAAAATGAAATATCTTCTCTAAATAGAAATAAGTACATCTTTAATTGTAATAATAACTACCTCAAGGTTATTTACTTCAACCAACTTCTGTTTTTGGGATTAATATTACTTACTTTCTTACGCCTGTTACTCCGAATGGAGCATAGGCCGCCGACCAGCATTCTCCAACCCACTCTCTCCTGTGACTTCCTTTCTAGTTCCATCCAATTTTCGTTCATTCTTCTCATATCTGTCTCCATTTCTCGGCGTAATGTGTTCTTTGGTCTTCCTCTTTTCCTTTGGCCTTGAGAATTCCTTTTGAGGGCTTGCCTTGTGACGCAGTTGGGTGCTTTCCTCAATGTATGGTCTGTCCACTTCTAGCGCTTCCTCCTGATTTCTTCCTCCACTGGAATCTGGTTTGTTCTCTCCCACAGTAGGTTGTTGCTGATAGTGTCCGGCCAACGGATCCGAAGTATTTTGCGTAGACAGCTGTTAATAAACACTTGCATCTTCTGGATGATGGATTTCGTAGTTCTCCAGGTTTCCACCTCATACAGTAGAACTGTCTTGACATTTGTATTGAAAATCCTGAGTTTGGTGAAGTCAGTTGACAGTTGTTTTGAGTTCCAGATTTTCTTTAGCTGTAAATATACTGCTCTTACTTTGCCGATCCGCGCCTTCACATCTGCATCAGATCCACCGTATTCATCAATGATGCTGCCCAGATATGTAGTGACTTTTACATCTTCCAAAGCTTCTCCATGAAGTGTGATTCGATTGTTATATGCTGTGTTGTATCGAAGAATCTTGCTTTTCCCTTTGTGTATATTGAGGCCTACTGCTGCTGAGGCTACTGCTACACTGATCGTCTTTTCCTGCACTTGTTTTTGCGTGTTCGATAGGAGAGCCAGATCATCTGCGAAGTCTAGATCATCCAATTGCATCCTAGCTGTCCACTGTATCCCGTGCTTCCCTACAGATGTTGATGTCATCATATCCAGTCGATCACCAGGAGAAGTAGAAAGAGTGAGAGTAAGCAACCTTGCCTGACACCGGTCTTTACTTCGAACGACTTTGTCAACTGTCCTCCATGAACGATTTTGCAGTTTAATCCATCGTAGGAATTCTGTATGATATTGACTATCTTCTGAGGCACGCCGTAGTGTCGAAGAAGCTTCCATAGGGTTGTTCTGTTCACGCTATCAAATGCTTTTTCGTAGTCAATGAAGTTGATCTAGAGTGATGAATTCCATTCAATTGATTGTTCCACAATGATCCGTAGAGTTGCGATTTAGTCTGTACACGGTGAATCTTCGAATAAAAAAATTTTTATCACGGAATTTTGACTGTTATATTTTTGGCAGTTGTTCATTGTTATAGTTCGAATACATAGTGTGAATTTGTGTTTAAATACATTTAATTAAGAAGTTTAAAATAAAATGAAATTTTACTAAGTATTCTAATGAATGTTACAAAATTATAATATTATTGAAAAGTTTATCAGTATAACTGGTAAACTTCAATATTTTTACAGAGTATAGTGATCTATTCAATTAGAATGTCTCGAATTCAGTATAATTGTAAAGTTTACTAAATTCATCCAGGTTTATTAGTTCACAACAAGATAACAGAATTCAAAACATTTCATGAAATTAATTTCCTTAATACATTTAGAGAATACAAAAACTACCATGTTTGTAGACAGAATAAATCTTATGTAATTTCAATGTGATTTGTCATATTCATCTATTCATTTTATTTTTTTATTTTATTGATAGAATACATGGTGTAACACAAAAAGATGATACTCAAATATTTCCTCAATCTAAAGGACTTGTACCTAAATAAAACAGAGGTTGTTCAATCAAGATTTTGTTCATCAATTTTTCAACTTCTGTTGACTATTCAATATATACATAAATGTATAAACAATTATGAATTTTTCGCAATTCAATGAGGGTTATTAAGCAGCGGATGTCTTTTCATCAGTGAGGTTAGTGTTGGGTCATTTCATAAATAACTCGGTAATCTTAGTTAGCCTACCAACAGTTCGAAATCACTATCACTTATCTAATGTTATACTGGTACTAAAACTTTTGTTTGGCTTAAAATTTAAAACTCTAATCTAACCTATGTTAATTTAGTTCTGATCTAAATAATAAACAAAATTGAATTATCTACTGGAAAATTATCATGACGACACCAATTATTTAATATGTAACTACACAAAATAATTGTTTATTCGGGTCAGAGTTTTTTTAGCGAGGTTGGATAGAGAATGCTAGTGAGCGGCCTATGCTGCTCCATGAGGGGTAACAGGTGTAAGTAAGTAAGTACACAAAATAATTAATGTCAACAAAGTAGACATTCAAGTTTCTCTTCGTTTTATCAATATATATATATATATATATATATATATATATATATATATAATGATAGAAAAATTCGACTTAATGGAAAGCCACTCGTGGTAAAGTAGCAGTCGTCAACAATCCCCTATAGATCTGAAATCGATGCTCATTTTATACTTCTTCAATAGCCTTCATACAACTTGGATACTCACTGTCCAGTTTAATTGGTTAGAATTATTTTTTTCAAGTTGAATGTTGTGTATTTTCATGTGTTAAACAATCAGATATCATCTATTAAGCATGCTTTAACAACATTTCAACCATTTTGATAATGTAATAAAAAGATGAAGATTATCAGGACCTTTATTGAAACAAAGTCTTAAATCAGTCATCGACAAAACGTATTGCGCAGCAAAGGTCGTTATCAAAGACAACAAAGTGCATGCTTCTTCCGAAACCTAAAAGACATGAAAACGATTGTGTCACATCCCACTGTGTTTACCAATTTAAATGTGTGTGTAGTCACACATACATAGGGAGGAGCAATCGTGATCTCAACATTAGGATGTGTTAACATATACCAAAATGGTTGCAGAAGCAAATAGAACCAAGTGACCCAATAAGAGTAGAGGATAAACATTCATCATCCTCTCTTGCTAAACATATAATCGAAACAGGCGATAGGATTGATCTTAACTCAGCTTTGTGGTGTTGTATAAAAGTGTAAAAGGGCGTATACTAAGGCTTATTGAAGCCTTAGCCATACACAAGTCCAAACCCCCTTTGCGTATTCAAAAACAGTTTATTCTCATAATAAATCTACCGTGATAATATTAGCTTATTATCCAGAGTTATGAGGTTTCAAATTGTGTTCATATTATCATTATTACTCTTATTATTATCCTTGTCTCCTCCTACCCCATTTCTAGTCTTGTTGACCTTTTATTTTTATATATAAATGTTCTTTAAATAATTGGGATCATGAGTTAGTTGAAGCCAAATGACTATAGGAAACCTGGAAGCACTGGATGGTGGTTTCGTCCTATGTTAAACATTAACACCGTTGGATGCCGGCTCAGTGGTCTAGTGGTTAAGAGCTCGCTTGCGATACTGATAGGTCCTGGGTTCAAATCTCGAAGGGGGCGGGATTGTAGATGCGCACTGCTGATTAGTTCCATACTAGGACGTAACGGCTGTCCAGTGATTTCAGGTTTTCCATGGTGGTCTAGCTTTAATTAACTCATGGTTTCAGCTATTGAAATTACTAAAATCTCCACAAATTGCCTTCTTATATACTTATCATTAACAAGTATATGTGTGATCAGATTGTTCGAAAAGTATTGCGCTAATATATTACATAGTTCTTATAATGTTCGTCTTTTTATTTCATTATCAAATTTATCAAAGGGATTAATTGCTTAAAATTTCAACCATTTAATATTGTGTAATAAGGAATTTAAAACGAAAAAAAGAAATTTTTTCCTTTTTTATTGTATAAACATTATTTTTGGTCACTAAATAAAGGAGAATATAGAAAAGAAAAAGGGTTTAATTAATCATATGAAACTGTTTTAAGCAACAATGATTCATAAAATCATAATGTTTATTAATGTGGTCTACAATGTTAACTAATAATCATTTATAGTTAAAAGAATTTTTTCTAGAAAAAAAGAAAAAAATAGAAGGAGCAACATACTAATAAACTTAATTCGTTCAAAATATGAAACTACAAATATACACTAGACTAAACAAAAATGATGCAATAAATCAAATATTATACCATGTATAATATAAGTTATTCATCTTTCTTTCTTTTTTTGGAAAAAAAAAAAAGAAAAATGTTATCATTGAAATTAATTCACTAATTCCAGTTGGTTGTAAAATTAAAAAAGAAAGAAAAAAAGAAATACTCAACTGTGGATTTGTTTAAAGTGAATCACTTTAAAGAAAATTTATTTCAACAGGGTATGGAAAATGGAAATTATTGATGAACATTTACTAGTAACTCAATTCTTTTACAAAGTAATATGATGGAATTATATGAAAATTTGTCAAAACATTAAAATGTAAATGATTATATAGATATATCAATAATAATAATAATAAAAGGGAAAGAAATATGTGACTAATTTAAATTGTTACTGGTCTAATTGATTAGTGTAGAATCAACTACAACTTGTATCAGCCGGTGGTAGATCAAGAAGACTTAAAGAACTACCATTTTCTTTTTGATAATTTCCTAATTCATGTCGATTACTCCATTTTGGAATACCTGTTTGAAAACGAGTCTTATGTGGAGAAGCTGGTAATTCACTCATAACACTAAATACGGACCCTTCACGTGTTACTGAATAATTTCTCGTTCTAGTTGGATAAAGACTACCAGATCGTTGTCTATTGTAATTTCCATAAGTTGTTACATTATCTTCTTGAGCAGTTAAACCTATACGTCTTTCAGCCATTTGAGCACGTAAATCTGCATCATCCACTTGCTGTTGAGCTTTACGATATTTCATTGAAGCAGTTTGAGCAGCGTTTTCCTGTAATTAAATTAAATTACATTCTTAACATAATTGGTTATCAATCTATCTTACGAATAAAATTATCTCGTTTAAAAAAATTCAGTCATATGATCAGATGAATCATTCACTGTTATTTGTATAATTCTCACATGGAATAATTAATGTCATTTGTATTTCGATAATACTACCAGAGAAAATAAAAACATTCATAACCACTAGAAAGCGTACAGACGTTCTTAAGGAAATAAGTATAGTGCACATATAGTTGCTATTGTTACTACATTAAAACAAGCATGGCGAATTTGTCTTTTTACAGTAAGCAATTGTACTTCTTTCTAATAAACATTGAAATTGATCTATTCACAGTGAATTACCTAGTATTATTTACTAATAATTGATTTAATTGAATCTAACATTTTACAAAATACACATACTGCTTCTTCTAACTGTTTCCTGGTTTGTTTCAGTTTTGTTTGAGCTCGTTCAACCATTTCACGTAGTTCATTTATCATATGCCCAGCATCTTGTTCAGCTTGTACTGATTCTTTGAGTGCTCTCTCACATTTTCTGTAAAACAAAAATCATAAAAAGCACAAATTATTGAGAAAAAATCATATGAAACTATTTACTACTTTTTGGGGGATATCCTTGTTTGAGAAAATTTCGGTTGCATGCTTTTGATTTTTATATTGCAGCGGTAGGTAGCTTCCCAAAGTGAATGGCCTTGCATACATCGGCCATCGATTATGACATTGTTAGTTTTAACGGACACAATTAGCTGAGGGCACCTCGGTTTGTTCATGTTATAACATAAATGATACACTTCCTCTATCCTTTTAGATAGCCAGCAGAGAAATTTCAAGTTATTTTACACAAGCGTATGATCAAGTGTATTTCTTCATTCGACACTTTTCATCCTCCTACTCATTTGTTTTATAGGTAAGACATTTAAAAGGTTTGGTATCAGAATCGTCCGAACCTGTATTATCTGGACTACTTCAGTATAAAATACTTTTGTGTTTTGCAAAATTTTGTTTGAATCCAACTGTCAAATAATTGCTCTGGATAAGTCTTCTAAATAGTGGACTTGAGTTGAAGATGAAATGTATTGTGAAAGATTTAAAAAGTGGTGCAACTCATGTACTGAAGTGACTTCTCTCGTCTTCAGGGGATTCTACAATCCACGGTAACTCTGGATGTTCGATGCATGCTAACTCACAAAGTTCTTCTTGATACTGGAAGGTATGGAGCTGATGAGAGTCGATAGAAAAGTGTTCATCCGAGTCCAATATTGCTATTCAGGCTTTCTATATGCAAGTAAAACTTTTTACTGAATTGAAAAATCGAAGCGTGAATTGGAGAGTTTTAATGATTAATCTGAGTAGAGATACATACACAAACCGATCCATAAATATCTATTTCCTTTGGAAAATTAACTCAGATTTTCAACTAACAGTTTATATCTCTTTAAGGAAAGTAAAGCAAAATCTTGATCAATAACATGCATCCAACACCAACTCTCACTTATCAATTCACTATGAATTGATATGTCCAACTGATTTGATACATCACCTTCCATTCCTGAAAAATAAGTCTGTAGTTTTGGATTCAGCTACAGGAATTGAGGTTGGCGAACATCATCTCCCCTCCTCCCACCTCCTCGGATAAAATGCCATACTCAAGGAGTTTCTTGCTTCCAGTGTATGATATCTTGTAGCTATCCACATCTGACCTCTGAGATTGACTGGTGTAAAGCGTGTATACGTGTCTGTGATAACACACAATCATTATAAAATGAAGATGTTTGGTCACAATCAAGATCAAATGACTGACTAAGTAGTTGACCATGTGAGTTAACCTAGATCTAATTAGTTGTAAGATTCATCCGTGATATGGTACTTAGGTTTCACAATTTGATCGTTAAATTTGAGAAAACATTTGTTAATGCTGACAATTTTAATTGGACGACTATAGTCATTCCTTACTACGGTATGCTACAGGCTAAATACTTGACTGATCAAGTTTGTGCAACGTTTTAAGAGAAATCAAGGTAACGTTAAAGACTATATCCAACTGCGAGGTGATAATTCGTTCATCAACTTCGATGAGTACTTATTCAATTAAAGATTAGGAATTAGTTCCGAACAAAGTATACACAAACTTTATTTATTTTGGAACTCAATAACTAGAACTTGATGCATATGATGAGAATTGGTGTTTATAAATATATTCTTGTGACTAGTTTCATCATCTCTCACCTTTCTTTTGGCCTTGAACTGATATGTCTGGTTGGCACAGCATAGCAGAAAACTAAACCATGAATGATTTAGAAAACAAACAACAAGTAACGGACATCGAGGAAGCTGTGTTATTCTTAATTCATTTTCGAAACCTAATAAAGCAACTATGGCAGACTTCAAAAGAATCACTAACGAGTAACTTGATATTATTAAGCGCGGGAAGTGTTTCTATAGGAATGCTGTTGGTTATGTAAAAGAAATTTGAAATCCAGCCATCAGTTGCTTGATCAATCAGCAAGGAAAGAATTTACGAGAGGCTAACCCACGGTTCAATAAGTTGGGTCTCCTAGATAGATCTGTCATTTTCCAAAAATTAGAATTCATTAAATAAGAAATCAAAAGCTAAGTATGTATATGATTCAAGATATATAAAGTACCCACTAGATAAGTTATGACGCCTCATGATGAAAGCCGAGTTTCTTCGGAAGTCACGAGGCCGATGCCCCTTCTGACAACCAGAGCAACCATTTATTTAGGTACATGGAATGCTCGCACAATGTGGGAGACTGGGAGAGTTTTCCGAATTGCTGCAGAAATGAGGAGATACAATTTAGAGGTGCTTGGGATCAGTGAAACACATTGGACGCAAGTTGGACAACAACGACTAGCTTCAGGGGAGCTGCTGTTATACTCCAGATATGAACAAGAAAATGCTCCACATACACAAGGAGTTGCATTGATGCTGTCCAAACAAGCACAAAATGCACTTATAGGATGGGAATCTCATGGACCAAGGATCATCAAAGCCTCCTTCAAAACAAAGAAAACGGGGATTACAATGAACGTCATCCAATGCTACGCGTCTACCAACGACTACAATGAAGACGCTAAAGATCAATTCTACGATAGGCTGCAGTCAATCGTCGAAAAGTGCCCAACAAAAGACCTGACTATTCTGATGGGAGACCTAAATGCCAAGGTTGGAATTGACAACACCGGATATGAAGAGATCATGGGACGACACGGACTAGGAGAAAGGAACGAAAATGGTGGGAGATTTTCAAACCTGTGTGCCTTCAATAAACTGGTCATAGGCTGCACTATATTCCCACATAAACGCATACACAAAACCACATGGACTTCACCGGATCACAGCACACAGAACCAAATCGACCATATCTGCATCAACAAAAAGTTCAGGAGGACGGTGGAGGATGTCAGAACAAAGAGAGGAGCTGATATAGCATCAGATCATCACTTGCTGGTCGCCAAGATGAAATTGAAACTCAAGAGGCACTAGACAACGGGCGGACAATATCACAAAAATTTAATACGGCTCTTCTTCGGGATAATGACAAACTCAATAAATTCAAGATAACCCTCAGCAATAAGTTCCAAGCCTTTCATGATCTACTCAATGGAGAAGGAACTACTATGGAGAGCAACTGGAAAGAGATAAAAGAGGCAATCACTTCAACATGTCATGAGGTTCTGGGCCAAAAGAAGCACCATCACAAGGATTGGATCACGATCGATACACTGGATAAGATTCAAGAAAGGAAGAACAAGAAGGCAGCAATCAATATCAGCCGAACAAGAGCAGAAAAAGCCAAGGCACAGGCTGAATACACAGAAGTAAACAAGCAAGTGAAGGGAAGCATCAGAACTGACAAACGTAAATATGTGGAAGATTTGGCAATGACGTCGGAAAAGGCTGTAAGAGAAGGAAACATGAGACAACTGTATGAAACAACAAAGAAACTCTCTGGAAATCAACGTAAACCAGAACGACCAGTGAAAAACAAGGAAGGCAAGATAATCACCAACATTGAAGAACAACGCAACAAGTGGGTAGAACACTTCAAAGAAGTCTTGAATCGATCAGCCCCACTGAACCCACCCAACATCGAAGCAGCACTCACGGACCTCCCAATCGATGTTGGCGCACCGACAATTGAAGAAATCAGCATGGCTATCAGACAAATCAAGAGTGGCAAAGCAGCAGGACGAGACAGCATTCCAGCCGAGGCACTGAAAGCAGACGTAGCCGCAACTGCAAGGATACTCCAAACTCTCTTCAGAAAGATCTGGGATGAGGAACAGGTACCAAAAGACTGGAAAGAAAGACTTCTAGTCAAAATACCAAAGAAAGGCGATCTCAGCGACTGTGACAACTACAGGGGAATCACTCTTCTTTCAATACCAGGAAAAGTCTTCAACAGGGTATTGTTAAACAGGATGAAGGACTCCGTAGACGCCCAACTTCGCGACCAACAGGCAGGATTCCGTAAGGATAGATCGTGCACAGACCAAATCGCAAGACTACGGATCATTGTGGAACAATCAATTGAATGGAATTCATCATTCTAGATCAACTTCATTGACTACGAAAAAGCATTTGATAGCGTGAACAGAACAACCCTATGGAAGCTTCTTCGACACTACGGCGTGCCTCAGAAGATAGTCAATATCATACAGAATTCCTACGATGGATTAAACTGCAAAATCGTTCATGGAGGACAGTTGACAAAGTCGTTCGAAGTAAAAGCCGGTGTCAGGCAAGGTTGCTTACTCTCACTCTTTCTACTTCTCCTGGTGATCGACTGGATATGATGACGTCAACATCTGAAGGGAAGCACGGAATACAGTGGACAGCTAGGATGCAATTGGATGATCTAGACTTCGCAGATGATCTGGCTCTCCTATCGAACACGCAAAAACAAATGCAGGAGGAGACGACCAGTGTAGCTGCAGCCTCAGCAGCAGTAGGCCTCAATATACACAAAGGGAAAAGCAAGATTCTTCGATACAACACAGCATACAACAATCGAATCACACTTCATGGAGAAGCTTTGGAAGATGTAAAAGTCACTACATATCTGGGCAGCATCATTGATGAATACGGTGGATCTGATGCAGATGTGAAGGCGCGGATCGGCAAAGTAAGAGCAGTATATTTACAACTAAAGAAAATCTGGAACTCAAAACAACTGTCAACTGACTTCACCAAACTCAGGATTTTCAATACAAATGTCAAGACAGTTCTACTGTATGAGGTGGAAACCTGGAGAACTACGAAATCCATCATCCAGAAGATGCAAGTGTTTATTAACAGCTGTCTACGCAAAATACTTCGGATCCGTTGGCCGGACACTATCAGCAACAACCTACTGTGGGAGAGAACAAACCAGATTCCAGTGGAGGAAGAAATCAGGAGGAAGCGCTAGAAGTGGACAGACCATACATTGAGGAAAGCACCCAACTGCGTCACAAGGCAAGCCCTCAAAAGGAATCCTCAAGGCCAAAGGAAAAGAGGAAGACCAAAGAACACATTACGCCGAGAAATGGAGATAGATATGAGAAGAATGAACAATAATTGGATGGAACTAGAAAAGAAGGCCCAGGACAGAGTGGGTTGGAGAATGCTGGTCGGCGGCCTATGCTCCATTCGGAGTAACAGGCGTAAGTAAGTAAGCGACAGACATTGACATCTATCATGTCAACATAACAAAACAAATCCTGAATCCTAGACGTCGATTGTCAATCGGTCTTCTGAAGTCAACACTGATTTTTAGCGAGGAATGAACTTTACGCATAAAAAATTCGTGCAAATTTCATAAACCGTATATGTGTGAACCTCAATCTCACTAACAGTATTAAAGACGGTCAGTAGAAATCTAAATAAACTAATGTCATCGGAACGACGAAAAATCTGATCTTTAAGACTTTCCCAAACAGTTGACAGTCGATGAGGTGTCATATCATGAAGTAGGGTGTATTCGTTTCATAGAGTGATATAAGTATGCAACTGATATGTAACACAACCGTTTATACCGCGTACATAACAGACTGGTGCTTCTCGAATTCATAGTAAAACTAGTCATCAACTGAGACAAGAAAATACTCTGGAACCTCACCACCAAACTTAGAACCTCAAATGTAATGGAATTTTATGAATCGTGATGGAATAATATTGTTGCTGTAATTCATTAGACCTTCCTAGACGCTAATAAAGCTTTAAACTTGAGGAAACATCTAATAAACTGAACTGTCTAACCTTAGTTGAGATTGGGCCTCTCTTGACTTTCTAGATTCCTCTTCCAAAGCTAGCTGCAACTCTCGTATTTTAATCTCGGCTTGGCTTTTGGCATCATCAGCTTCACGTTCTGCTGCATCAGCTGCTCTTCGGCTTTCCAAAATCTTGGCATTGCAGTCTTTTAGTTCAGCTTCCAATTGCCTTCTTGCAGTATCTGCTCGACGTGACGACTCCTGTTCAGTTTGAAGTTCTTGAGCAAGACGGTTAACTTCACTTTGAAGTCTGTCTGCTCTCTCTGTAGCAACCTGTGATAAATGCAAAGAATAATAAGGCAATACTTTCTAGATTCTTAATTATTTGTCAAGTGTTGTAGATAGATCAGCATAATAGATTGAAATCAACTGCACCCACACTTTAAATCGATTTCATTTAATAAATTTAATATTCAATAAACTGAACTTTGGAAATATTTTGTATAAATTTGTAATTTTATAATCCAGAAATTCATTATATGACAACAGACTAAATTAAATTGCAATGGGAAAATTTTACTGAATGTTAAACTATATTTTTGTTCTGGTTCAAAAGTTAAGAGCGAAATACGGTTATTTTCCATCTTCACACATTAGAGAATTATTTCTAGGTCAAAAATTCATGGAATCATGAACCAGTCAATGTTAGACCACCGCTAAAAGTTTGTAAGCGCTGGACAGCCGTCCCATCCTAGTATAGGATTCCTCAAAAATGCGCATCTACAGTCCCGCGCGCGGGGCTCGAACCCAGGACAGTCGGTCTCGAGTGAACGCTTAACCTGCAAACCATTGAAGCCAACATACAACGATATTAATGTCCAAATCCTCTAGTTGCATTCAAACAGTTCATCGTATTCCGTGCTTCCCTTCAGATGTGAAAGTCTTCATAGTTCAGTCAACCACCAGAAGAAAGAGAAAGTAGGAGAGTAGGCAGCCTTGTCTGACTGGCCTTCACTTGGAATATATCTTTCAGCTGCCCTCCATGCACGACTTTGCACTATAGTCTATTGTATGAATTCCGTATGATGTTGACCATCCTCTCAGGTACACCATAGTGTCGAAGAGGGACCCATAAAGTTCTCCTGTCCACACTGTCAAAAGCTCTTGTTTTTCTTCCCAAACCTTTATGTATAGAGTGTGGAGCATAGTTGTAGCTCTATAGTAGTTTCTTCTTTCAGTAAGTCCCTTAAGACTTGGAACCTATTGGTTAAGTTTGTCAGTATCTCGGAGGAAGTCTGTATTAAATCCTCCTAGTGCTTTTCTCCAATTACGCAGTGCTTCTTTAGCTTCAGTTTCATCTTGGCGACCATCAGGTGGTGATCTGTAGCTATGTCAGCTCCTCTCTTGGTTCTCACGTCTTCCGTTTTAGTGATGTAAATATGATCAATCTGGTTCTGTGTAGTGTGATCCGATGAAACGCATTTAGCTTTCTGTATGTATTTGTGGGGAAATATAGTGCTACTTATGACCATTTTGTTGAATGCATATAAATTAGAAAATCTCTCTCCATTCTCGTTCCTTTCTCCCAGTCGGTCCATGTCGTCTCAATGATATATTCATAACCAGTGTTGTCCATTCCGACATTGGCGTTTAGGTCTTCCATCAGAATGATTAGACCCTTTCTTCTACACTTCTCTATGATTGATTGCAGCGTCTCGTAAAACTTGTCTTTATCGTGTTTATTGCTATCGTTGGTGGGTGTATAACATTGGATAACATTCATTGTGATTCCCTTGTGCCTTATTTTGAAGGATGCTTTGATGATGCTGGACCTATGAGATTCCGATTCTATAAGTGTTTTGTGTGCTTCTTTGGATTGCATCAGAGCAACTCTCTGCATGCGAAGAGTATCTTCTTTTTCATGACCAGAACAAAACAGCATCTTATTTCATGTTGCTGTGGTTGTTGGAAAGCCATCCAAATAATCTTAACTTTTACCATGAGGCATCATAATTCTCCTATATGAAGATCTTTCAACTCGGAGGGCAGAGTTTAGATCGTTTTTTTTCTGGCTAGCGTTTTTTAGCGAGATTCCGATTCTATAAGTGTTTTGTGTGCTTCATCGGACAGTATCAGAGCAACTCCCTGAACGTGTGGAGCATTTTCTTGTTCGTAACCATAGTACAGCAGCATCTCTGATGAATCTAACCTTTTCTGTCCAGCTCGGGTCCAATGGGTTTCATTATTCCGAGCACCGCCAAGTTGCACTTCCTCATTTCTGTAGCTATTCATCTGATTCTCTTGTCTCACTTATTGTCCGAACATTCTATGTATTTATATTAATTGTTGCTCTGGTTGTTAGAAGAGGCATCAGTCTCATGACTTCCGTAGATGCTCGTCGTTAACCATAAGGTACCATAATTATTTTGAAGGAAGATTCCTCTATTTGTAGGGCAGAGTTTAGTTAGTTCCAATGGTTTTTTGTGGTTGGCATTTTTTAGCAAGGTTTTTTTCTGAGGAATGGTGTGTTTAAAGCCATACTCAAACCTCCTTCTTTACCCGGTCTTGGGACCAGCAGTAGCCGTAGAAAAGCTACAGGCCGAGTTATTTGAAGAAGACAGATATTATTATTAATGTTTTAGTTGACTCCATCGTGTGCACAAAAATGTTCACATTAGTAAATTATTACTGATCTATAAATGGGAAATTACTTTAAACTATTTAGTTCCGTCAAATTTAAATATATTAATTGCATATGAACAGTGTAAAGATGAATAAGAGAGAAAGTAAGTCCCTTAAAACTTTGAATATCTCATTTTTAGGCTCCGGTAAAACATGAAGTCAACCCAAATTAGTATTTTAAATGTAAGCAACATTCAGTGTTAGAAATATATTGCAAAAGTGTTTCATCAGTTGGTTTATGATTTATAATACACAGTGAAATCAACAGGTTGTACATGTCATGGAAAATTTCAACATGCCAGTGTGCAATATTTGGTAACCGTTTTTGTCGAATTGCTCCATCAACCAATGTTTGTGTGATGTACTTTCGGCGTTTTCAATTAATATAACGCAATCGAAAGTATATACAATAATATTGCTTAGACTATAAATGCACCAGTATATTTAAGTTAAAGTTGCTAGGATTTCAATAAACGTTTCATTATTTATAGTGTGATAAAATAAGTGATGCTCGTCTTGAAAATGTAATAATAACTCACATCTTTCGCACCTGTAGCGTCATCCAAATCACCTTCAAGCACAGCTATCTGACCCTCAAGTTTTCGTTTTTCTGCTGTCAAATTATTCACTTGTATTGTTAAACCACCGAATTTCGACATATTTTCCGATGACTCTTCTTCCAACTTTCGTTTTAATCTTTCTGTGATTTCCAATTGACTCCTTAAGGTTTCTACTTCATTTGATAAAGCAGATCGACGACTTTCACATATCTAAAAAAGAATTATTCTTATTTACACTAGTTAAGTAAATATAAAAATTATAAACAATTAATTTCACCATAAAAATGTTGACTAGTTATGTTTGAAAACAAGTATTTATATGGATTCATTCGTTAGTAACTATACTATAGAACGGTGTCATTAATTTACCTGTAAAGTGGTTGCAGTTTCAGAAACCAAATTATTCAATTCTGTTATATCTATTTCTAATTGACAAATATGTGCTTCTGCTTCTTGATGTAATTTAATAGTTTCTGAATGAGCAGCTTTTTCATCTTCTAATTGAACTTGTAAATTATTTATATTTCCTTCTAGTTTCTTTTTAAGTCGGTCTAATTCATTTTGATTTTTCATTTCCATATCTGCTACAGTTGCTTTAAGATTTTCCACATTACGTTGACTTGAACGTCTATAATTAGAATACATGAAATGTCAGTAACATATAACTTAAAGAAATGATATCTACTAAAATAATCTTTTTAAACTTTACTAGAATTCACTTTTTCAATGTTAACATAAGTTATTTCAAAAACAAACAAAAAAGACACTACAGATTATTCTATCATTGAAACATGAACATAAATCTACATTACCTTAAACTTTCCATTTCTTCCTCTTTATCTCTTGATTGACGTTCAAATTCATTTCTTAAAGTACTTAAAGCTGAATATGTTGTTTGGTAACGGGTCTATAAAGAAAAAAAGATAATAAGATCATTATCAGAATATTATTTATATACGGAGTTGATTTTCATTGTTATGTATTGGTAAAAATGGAACAGGTGTAAACGGATAATAATGAGATACAGTACTAATGGCCAGTGAAGAATTACTAAAAGATTGTAATCAGTTGCCAATACTTATTATATAAGAAGTAATCACTTCACAATATAAAACAAACTTTGAAATATACTTGTTTAAACAAGTTTTTACCTATAATCAATTTATTCCAATATAAGTCAGAATATTAATAACTGACTGAGAAACACTTTATACACATGACTGTGGTAGCCAGATAGATTTTATTCACGTTTATTGTAATTTAAAGTCTTGAAATATTGTAATAATGAACAATCTTATGGATTTTCTAATGTGTACTCATACACTTAACACCTTAAAAATTGCATTAGGAATCAGATGGTAAGTAGAAATCCAATGAACAGTTAGATGTATGAAGGAATTTACCTCATTCATCCAAAATGAAAATGATGCCCTCAGAATCGGCACACAAAAAGCATGACAAAGGGTCTCGAGATTCATTGGATGTTAAACTACAAACAATGATATCCATTCTAAACCTCATGTGTATATTAATTCATTTCATTCAAATAAATATTCTATCGACTATTAATAGAAAGTTTTGATGATCCATCCTCTGTCGTCTAGACTTTCAATTATTAGACCAACTGTCACTTTTCAAAAAAATTCCTTTTGATTTAGGAGTCATGGTATTAAAGTTATGTCACTGTATAAACCTGTATAAAAATCGCTTTCTGTTAAGAGCAATAAATTTGATTCGGTTTTGTTGTGAGTATTGTAGTTACACGATACTTTTTATCACATTATGGATCATAAAAGATGAAGACATCAAGTTATTCATCAAATTCTGTAGTTCTCTGTTATTTTGCAGCAGTTTTCCTAACAATAAGAATAAACTAAACAAACTACTATATTTAACTGTCATTAACTTTTTCCATTCAAACTTTTACATAGATATTTTCTGAAAATATAGAAACTTACTTCACATTCATGTAAAGCATCTTCTGTATCTTTTAATGTAGAGTCTAGATTATCTCTTTCCGCTTCTAGTCTTGCTCGAGAACTCTCCAAATCAGTAACTTGTCGATTAACAACTGACAAACGTTCTTTAGTTTCTTTTAGTTTTTCTTAATACATATACATATACAATATGAATAATGATAAATAGTAAATTATTAATAGAATTTCATAAAATGATTATCACTAAACAAATTTTCTTATATAAAGTATACAATTTATGAGTTAAATTGTTCAGTACAAAAATTGATTTTACGGGATACAATGAAATATTACTTAATCAACATTATGAATAATATAGAAGTACGATGTAAACTTATTTAAATGTTTTAACTATTAAAATAGATATGCTAAGAACAAACATTATACACATAGACGCATTTTCTGAGTCAGTGAAGCTGGTTTTATGTTTTACATTGAATTTATAAAAGTTGTATTATATCTTCTAGAAGACTTCTATCTAAAGTTTGTGGTGTCGTTCAGAAGAACGATAAAAGCTCCACGACCAAACCATCCAGTACAAAGAATAAAACTCCATCAAAAACATCCACCTGAGCTACAAGTCTTCTCCACCATCTCATATGAACGTTATACGCTTCTCGCTGTTCGAAAATGGAAGGATTTCGCCAAAAGGCAGGTTTCCACTCGAGAACAACTGTACTTTCTCCATGAGTTATATTAGAATCTAATACGAATATAAATCGTTTGTTTGTGTAACTGCATACATCTAGCTAGTTTGAGTAGAAAATTAAGTAATAGTCTATGAGGTGAGATTATAATTTATGGACGATATTTAAGCGACGCCAGATTGACTTTAAGAGTGTCTATCTAATAACCAAGACCAAATGAAGGTTATAAACCTGTGTGAGGAATTAAAATTGTGATTTACAATTGATGGTTAAAGTTAGAAATTGGATCTAGATTTTTCATCACGAACTGACATCAGCTATAATGCCATGAATCTATTTAACCAAATGGATGAGTAAATTTTGCGACAAAATCCAAGACCTGTTATCTTATACCTGATTGGTTCATCCATAAATTATAGTCTTGTCATCTATGGATTTCAATGAAAGAATTGAATTAAAAAGTGATATTTAAAGATCGTTAATATAAGTACTTTTTAAGTTGAAATTATTTAAGTGACTTTTAAGATAATTACAATGAAAACTTATTTTATTTGATTATACAAATAAAGAATAGTATGGATACATATTGTATAAAAAATCAATCATATTTAACAAAAAATACTTTCAAACTGCATGACACTTTGTCCTCCTATATGGGATTTAAAACTTATAGGCTTCATTACAGTTTGGAGAACTTAAGCTAAATTTAAAGAAATACAAGTAAGCATATATATATATATATATATATACTTCTAATTATATACAAATTAAAAAATTCTAAGTTCTTTTTTGGGGCTCTCTGATAATATCTAATTAGATGGTCTATGTAACACATATAATTGTTTACTTTCAGTAACTGTGACTATATACTATTTCCATAGATGTAAATGAATATATATACTGAAATTTTCTAACTTGGCATATGAATACATGTAAGTCATAATACTTTTCTTAACTCAGAATAATAACTTTGTTTCACTACATAACCATAATGAACTGTTTATATTTTTTTAAAAATGGTATCTTAAAATCAATACATTTATTACAATTTAACTGTACACACATTTTGAACTTGATTCTTTAACTCAGTCAATCGATAATACACCCAGTGATAAGTATAGATTTTTAAAATTGAATATTGCACATCTATATAAACCTAAAATTGAATTTATTGTTATGTAGATCTATAAATTACCATTTTTTTAAATTTTATATTTTAAAGCTCCCTTAGTTATTTACGTTAATAAAAAAATTATTATTTATATTTGAAAAATTTATTTTTAAGCTTTTTAATAAAAACAATCGGTGAATTACAACAAATTTTGATCATAATTTGTAATCTAATCCATGTATTATCGAAGAGTTTCAGACTATCAATAGCGCCTAATTTATAAGATTACAAATAGTTTATAACATAGGTTGAATTCAACAATCTTAGAAAACAAGGAGTTTGTGAATAATTTCATCGTTCCAAATGAGAACGTTAAGTAATATATACCAATAATGGCGTCAGGGATCAAATCTGAAGTATTCATGCATCAGTTGGCATTTAGTAGTCTGTACTTATAACTTCTGTCAGTTAGTCAAACTGACCCCATAAAAACTGTGTGTATAAATACTTACTCATTGAATGCTGCGTAAAGATAAGGAAATAGGGAATAAATGTGATTTAGATCATCACAATTCCACATATATTATATTTTCGTTCTTAATTGTGATGAACTAGCCCTAATATGCTACTATTTTGACTCCAGAAAATGTTTGTAGTATTGAATTTGTCTTGGTTAATTATAGTGTGCAGAAGGGACTTGTACTAGGCGGCTAAACTTCAAAAATTCAACTTTATATTCATTGGAATACCCCAAATTTTCCATCGTTTTTATCATTAACAATCTAAAAACACTCAATTTATTTGAAATTTTCTAGTATTCATATTCTCGTGTTGACTTAGTGCGGAATTTTGGTCATATTTTTTTAATCTTTCATGTCTACTAGAAAAAATCTATGTAGCGAGGGAAAACATTTTTCACACCAGATTTTTATGGTAGTATAGCTGGTGTTTTAACAAAATTATATTCTTTAAATGAATTAAATAGTATGCTATAGTTTTAGTAACCCTCAAAGTATATCGATAGAGCAAAACATGAGATCGTAGCTGTGCACTGCTGAGGAGTCCCATACCAGGATGAAACGGCCGTCCAGTACTTACAGGTTTTCCATGGTGGTCTAGCTTCAAATGACTCATGATCTCAACCATTGAAAATATGAATGCTTAAGTGAACAGTTTTGATCTGATCTTATTGTTATTATCATATTTGTAATTTTTATTCTAATACCTATACTAGTACATTTTGGGATAAATGTATGATTGGTTACTTTTTTGAAGCAAATTCTGAAATTATTTAAATTCATATATAACTGATGAGTCTCAAATAGGATGAAACGAGAGTCCTAGATTTCACTAAAATAATTAAATTAAGGATCTAACTATACATTTGGCTATACAACTAGTAAAGTTAACACTTTTACCAGCATTTTGTTTGTTCTCTTTCTCTAAAACCGTCAAACGTTCCTCCAGTTCAGACTTAACAGCTCTGATTTGAATAAGATCCCTTTGTAATAAACCACATTTTGTTCGTAAATTGCTTTCTTCAGTTTGAGTTTCTTCTAAAACCGCTTCCAGCTCTGTCTTTTGACTTTCCAAACTTTTAATAGTTTGAACATGTTCAGTGCATTCAGCAAATAACTGAAAATGTTAAACAATTATATAATATCTAGAAATTAAGTTATTTCATTGTTTTAACAGCATGGAATTCATTATTATTATCAAACATTATAAATAAATTAACACTTTGTCAGTATTTTAGAATTAATACTCCTACAGCAATATTCAACCACTTTTCGTTACTTCGAATGTTTTGACGTTATCTCATGGGCTACTGAATCACGGTAAAAATTGCTTTTACCATAGATGTTGAATATTTGCCAATAAACATTTGTTAAATAAATCCAAAATATTAATAGTGCTGAAATTCAAATTCTAAAAATTTTTCCTTATTAATTTGACTAAATGCTTGTGTGAATAGTTAGAAACAGAGTGTTTATGATTCTTATGACGTTCAATTTATAGATTTGTGTGAACGTATTCTAGGACAGGTTTAACGTTTCCAAACCATAAGAAAAGATCATTTTGAGGGATCTGACTAATTCAATGATAACAAAGCGAACTTTGCTTATATATGTTTATTTAAATATCAGTCACATCAACCACACATATGAATCGTGTTTGTTAGTTTCATACACTAAAATGTATCGTATATATATATATATATCATCTGTAAATTATGTAGAATCTGGACTCACATTGTCTAATTGAGATTGTATTTCTTGACATTGATTAGCTAATTGATTCTTGGTACGTTCAAGACTAATAACTCGACCACGTTCAAGTTCATAGGATTCTGTTAATTCATTGATACGATTATTCAAACGACGTCTGACAGTAATCAATTAATAAAATATGTTAAAGTTTAGTATCATATACTGAATAATTTTATTCTAGACAATACAATAACTTACTATTGATAAAATATCTTTATTTAGATCATTCAGTATATGTATTATATCACTGAGGTAAACAACAGATGAAAAGTAAGGTATATTGATTAGTTCTTTTGTTCTAGTACTGTTAGATATTGACTTATTCATGAACAAAGAATTTTATAACTTCTTTATTAAGCTGTACAGCTATAAATGTAAAATTATTTTTGTGTTACAGTGCACAAAATACATTAAATTCGGATTAATCCATATTACGAAATGAAAATAATAAATTTCACGTTGATTGAATCTTGAATACAAAAAATTGCCAAAAAATATATGTAATAATGGCATTAGTAATGTCAAGACAGGTCATGCATAAAGGATAAGAACTGTATACTTTAAGGTGACGTATGAATTCTGATCATTAACTTAAAATTGTATATAGAGACATTTTAATATAAAATAGGAATTGTTGTTACATAGTTCTTATGTTAGTAATAATAATAATCGTAATAATAATAATATTCACATGAATATTATGTAAAATTAAAAAGATGATTGTTTAATTAAAGAAAGAAGTGCACATCATAATGGAAAGGAATGAATCGAATTGGAACGAACAATGATACGACCTTAATGAATGTATCTTTTTTGTATACATAAGTAAAGATCCCCGTCATATTAAAAGACTAGTATTTGAACGAAGAATATTCTTTTCGATAAATTCTCTTCAGGTTCTACAATTATATATCCAAATTAATAATCCGAAAAAAGGCCAGGTTAAGGGTAAAGTACATCGTTTAAAGCATGTGAATTTAGGATTGTGATAAATAAAATACAATAAAATTGTTCATGTTGATATGACTCATAAAGAATGTTAACTTGAATCTGAGTATATGTTCAGTGAGATTTTAAGATCTATGATCAGAATAAATATGGGTCAAGTAGGGTGAGAAAAATAATAGTGCAATTACCATTCGATCAAATAAGTAAGATTTATGGATAAGGATAACAGAGAAAATTACAATTGACTACGAAAGGTCATAGTCAAATTACGTCATTCAATAGTTATGATTACGATTGATTAATTGGCCTTGATGTTGGCCAGGCGAGGAGGAGTGGTTGAATATATTTCTTCTGTACGCATAGCTCCAGTTTCTTCATCCGGATGGCTACTGCTTCAACTGTTTGAAGGACTTTCAGTCTGACCAGTTTGGGCAAAAAATTACTGACCTTATAAATAATTGAAAAAGATTGGTTTATACTGGCACTATGGCCAGTTTGTACTAAATGGGCTAATATTGAGCTGTTCACTTTCTTCATCAAACCTTTGTTAAGCCACGCTGGAAGGTGTTCACGAGCACGAAAATGTAAATTCCTAGAACTTCGACCAATATAACTCGCTGCACAGGAGCAGTCGAACTGATAAATGCAAAATGAGGTGGTCATTCTAGGTAATTCATCTTTTAGTCTCGGTGTAACCAATGGGCGCGTAGAAAACACTAATCGCAGTTCTCCGGCGTTAAAAGATTTTTGTATTGTCCTACGTAGTTTCTGAGTTAATATTTCACTCTGAATTGTAGACGCATGAACAGGGATTTCTTCTTCACTGTTTATATTTCGCCTATTTTCGCCTTCATGATCATATATTTAGTTATAAACTTTCTAGGGTAGCCGTTCTCCCTGAGAGTATTATTAGTATCGATTGTTTCAGCTGTATGGAGTATGAGTAAACTTTTTTTAGAAATTACTGGGAACTTGATTGATAATTGAGAAACCATCTTCAGTTTCGATGTTATATTCATCATCAACTAAGAGGGAAAGAATGGCACGCTTGAAATAAAAATATCACACTAGCTAAACTAAGTACATGACCAAGACGAAATTATATATCTTCAAGTGTTCTATTTAGAGCAATTATAAGTTTTACACGTTTATCTCACATGACCATTAAATGAAATTGCCATTTCGCAAAATTTTGGCATTCATTTTATCAACAAGAAAGTTATTAGTTTCTAGTAAAAATCAACACATTTCTGAAATCCGTCATCACTCACATCGTCTTAAATCTTGAAAGCAGATTATTTAATGCTGTGATGGTTTAGATGGTTTGATAAAAATATGAAGATAAAACCATAGGCTAAAAAATCCAATATAAATATTTAACTAAGATAATACAAGTAAAGTACCTGTAGACAACAAGTATCTGTTAAAAAATGAAAACCAAGGTCATAAGCTAACCAATCATCACTAATTTTTTCCTATTTATTGATCTGTTGTTTTGTTGAACAATTGTGTGCTTTTTTTTTTAAAACGGTTAGAACTTTTTATAAACTTCCATACAGTTATGAAAAGAAGTTGATTTGTAAAATATAAGGTATTGGTGTAATATACTTTAAACAATCTGGTCACATATTTACTTGTCATGACATTTGTAAATGATCAATAAAATAAAATACATATATCATATTAAAGTAAATCTTGTAATAAGTTACTACTGAATCATTAATAATTAATAAGTTACATACTTGAGTTCATCAAATTCTTCAGTTTTTTCATTGAATTCTTTTTCATATTTTGTTTTAGTTTGTGTTAATTCACTTGTAAGTCTAGTGACTTGAGTTTGAAGTTTCACTACACTTTCAGCTTCATCATCTGCTCTATGAATTAATGTATCTAATTCTTGTTGTACTGCATTTAATTTACTTTGTAGTAAGGTTCTAGTCTATAGAAAATGAAACAAACAGTTTTTGTTTAATGAATTATAAATAGTTGATTATCTGTATCATTAAAATGAACATTATTTCTTTTAATTTGACAGTTTTAAGATGAACATTTAACCGTCTTTTTTGTCTGTCATTATGATTTAGCGTTCAGACTAACTATTAATGTAGCCTTCCAATAGATAAAAGGATAAATTCCTGAATGAATATATATACAACTGATTTCTATTTTGATTGAGATCATGAACCGATTGATGTTAGACCACCGTTGGAAACCTGGAAGCACTGGACGGCCGTTCCGGGTCATGATCTATGAACCTATTTATTTAGATTGTTTATAAATAAGAGACTAAAGTGAAAATCTATTATGAAGTATAATAAAGATTTTATGACAAAATTGTAATAAAAGAAATAAAAGACTGAAGTTATTTATCAAGTTTTTTTGGATAAATGTAAACACATATTGTTTACCTTTGAAAATAGTCATTAATGCTACATGGGAACAAAAGCTTATTATTGTTCAAAAATAACCTTAGTGTTTTTATTATTTGTTGCCTTTTATGAACTTTTCTGAAAGGAATGTTTTTCTTTATTTTTTTAATAAGGCTGAAATAAGCTTGTTTCAGAAGCCTTTTTTATCTAAGCAACTATCGTTTATTTTATATTTGGTATTTTATATGTCTGTCAGCTTAATGAACTTATTATTAGCGAAGAAATATTGTAAGTTTGGAAATGAATGATTGTCTTTCTGAATTAATGTAAAGAAAATTAGTTATGATTAATCAGGAGAGCAAAATCATTGACATGCTATCAACTCCGAGAACATCAGAAGACAGGACAGGTGGTTAATAAGAAACTTATCTTAATTCAGTAGATGAGAGACTTATAAGCAAACAGTTGACTCCAAATAAACATGACTAAAAGTAATCCAATGAGTATAAACTCATTTAACATGTGTTTTTGGGCTGGAATCGTTCTTAACGATCTGTTGTGAAATGTTCACTGTAACGTAGTTTGATATGTTGGATCAAAAACACAAATAATCAGAACTGCAGAGTAGTTTTTATCTGTCATCCCAAACCTATTGACTCAAGCCTAAAATCTTGAGGCTTCACAACTAGCGTTTAACTGTGGAAGCACGGTTCTTGTAACCAATTTTCTAAATAACTTATCCCAGTCAACTTGAGATATTGCATGAACATCGTTCATGGTCACTGGTGATATTTGTATCATACTCAACCTAGGTGGATTGCAGTGATTACTGCTTCTCATTAGAACTCTTCAATTCATCTATTTCAGTTAGTTACGAATAACTACAGGGTGATTGGTAAATAAGGCATTTATGGGATTGCTGAATTAAGGTTTCACATCACCGATTGACCATTATGAAGCTATAGATTGTGAATTCTGAGAAGTCACATGCTAGGACGGAATAATTATCCAGCACTTCTCAGTTTTTAGTGGTTTTCTAAATTAAGTTAAATCATGTCAAACTTTAAGTGAAGATCAAACCAATTGGCTCACAATAACAAACGAAAACTTAAAACTCAATATTCAGTATCATCATATTGTTAAAACTTGACAGATCGGATTTAGCTGATGTTTTTCAATAAGTTGTTTTGTTTATTAGTTTATCCTTTTATTTTTAAAAACCAACATACCTTTATTTCTTCTTCTAAAGCCCTCTTATGGTCTTCTCCTACTGATTCAGCAATAGATTGTGCTCTCTGACAACTTGCCAAAGATGTATTTAACTTTTCTATAGTTCTGGCCTGTTCAGTTGCTTCAGCAATGAGTTGAGCATTTTGTGAATTAAGTTCTGTAATACGTTTTTGACTCTCTTCATAGTTCGCTCTTAGTCTTATAGTTTGAGATTCAAGTGTTTCTTGTTTTGATTGAGCAATAGTCTGGATAGCAGAAAGAATAGGAAACATTTTTTTATACGGGAACTTGAAAATTGGATAAACATTTCTGCATTGACTGAGTGGATCACAGTGTCGTTTAGCAGTAGACCGGAATAAATAAAAAATATGTCACACGAATATACACAATATGAATATATGTTTTAGGGATTGTAAGTCAGTTACTTGGATAATTTTTAACAGTTTTTGACCTTTGGGCATTAATGAATTGGTTTTAGATAACATTTTATTGGTTATTCAGAATTAGACTATTATTCAATGTAGAATAAACGTATTGAGGTATAGTTACAATCTGTCTCCTATGTCCAGTAAATTTACATTTGTCGGTCTTCTCACCTACATGGAGTCGTATATGGTTATTTTGGTCTTCTAAACAGAAACATTGCATTACGGCTAGGCAGGAAAAACTTAATTGCTTATAAGATTCACTATTAAGTGACGGTTAGAAGTTAAGAAAATTAATAATTCTTTTCCTTTGTCGAACACCGGTAACACTGCTAAGCTGATTAAAATCATTTTGGTAACTTTTGGGCTTCGTGTTGTAATGCAGATTAACATCCATATCGTGAATAAAGAATACCTATATTTTTTTCTGAAATATCTTGGAATTAGTAAGAAGTTTACTGTGTCATCATAATCCCTTACCCTTGAAAATCTCATAGGATACATGAACTCACCATATTGTTTAAATTTTCCTTACCGTTTCAGCCACAATTTTCTTATTTTAACAATCTGTACTATCATTATCAACACGAAGTATAGAAGTATGAATGTTATTCACAAGGCAGTTTCAAGTCAACGGTAATATTGAAGTTTCATCTAAAGATTACACATCCACATTAGTTTCAAAACTTCAAATAGTAATGGATTAGTTTTGAAGATATTTTTCTAGTTGCTGATCTATTTAAAAAGCACTGTTAGCAGAAAACCAGAAACAATTTGAAACTGGAGAATTGAATTTACTTGAAATAATACATGCTAACTTTTCTCAGTTTTAAGTTGAGGATTTCTCATGATCAGTTTAATTAAATGGTTTTCTTATGTAGTTTACATCCATCAGCTGGTTTTATTATTCCAACATACTCTAAATATGGACGAACATTTATTTAAACTTTTAATTATGTTACAATATTATAAATTTATAGCTGTATGAAAGTAATTGAAAGTATTCAAAAAGATTTTTGCTTCCGTGAAATTTAACGCAATCACGTCAGTTATTGGAAATAAAACGATATCCGTTTTGACTAATATTCTCACTTTAAGGTACATTTGAAATAGGAAGAAAGTTTTGACTGAGTATACTGTGAGAACAGCATCATTTGATCTCTGCTAGCAAATTACCTAATTAATTGTTTTACAGTTTGAAGCGTTAAATGTTATGTTCACGTTCAAATGGATAAGACTGAAATTAGTGTGTTTCTGATATATTCAGTTATAGAATGAAAATATATTTTATATTTTTCTTTTACCTATTATTAAATACAATCAGATATTGTAAACAGACATTTATTATAATTAATATATTCAACAACTAGGCAGACGATATCCTAACTTTAATTCAAGTTTACGTTCATTTGTCCGTAGAAATTTGAACCTCATTTAAAGATAAGCATATGACTTACTGTAACACATTTCCCTAAATCTCTAGACTGTCATTTTGGTATAGTATTATTAAGAATTCACTACTTACCCTAAAGTCGATAGATTTTGTGAAGTATTCAATAGATGCTTTATTCAACAAATATTATGAAGATAATTACCTTCACTTAGTAAACTAAAGTTTATTTATAATTGCACAATTAGCTGACATCTTTTTTACATAAACGTTACATGTTAAATGATGTATCATCTAGCGCTAACCTAACAAATATAAATTAAAAAAAAATAATAAATTATTACTTACTTTCGCCTTATTAGCATCCTCAACTTCAGCAAAAGCATTTTCTAGTTGTCTAGCCATTTCAGATCTTTCTTTTTCAGCTCTAAATATTCAACAAATTTAAATACATTTATTAATAGCGTTATTTAACATTTTAACGGTAATCCACCTGAATAAATAATTAATGAAAATTGACTGAAATTCAATTACTGTTTAAAATGCATATCACCAAGGTGAGAGAAGTAAAGGGGTTATTCAACTTGTCTTTACTGTAAGTCAACAACGGAGGAATTACCATGAGAAAAAATTTATGAAAACATAACAAATTCGATTGAATCTTAAGTGATTTGATCCTTAATAGAAATTACAATATAAAGAAGCAATATTGACTGACATATCTGATCAAATTTATTTTGAAAATAGTTACTAACTTAGATTTCGCCTTTTGAAGAACATTTATTTCAAGATTAAGATCATTGACTGTGGTTTGATGACGACGTCTTAAATTTTCCAAACTTTCTTCATTTGCATCACGAATTGTACCCAGCTCTCTATGAACACGAGCAAACTCTTGTTCCCGTCTTTTGATTGTTTCTTCCTTTTATAAAATAAATGTAATGTATTTGAATTTATTAACCTTTTTTTAAGCATGAAACCAGTTAATATTCCTATATTAGTAATAAACTACAATGTATTATCTAAGAATGCAAATCAGAAGATTTGGTTGGTATGTTACTAAAAATATTCTCTGCAAAACTAATACCTCAGGCATGTAGTGTGAAAATGCTTTCACAATAGTAATCAAGCCACGTTTCTTACCAACAACAGTAGCACACATATTTTGATCATTTTAATCTGTCCCAAAATGTCGACGTTAGAATTATGAACAATACATTTTGTGAATTACCTCTGTTTCGACAAATAATCACATTCATAATCAAATAGAGCTCCTCAAGTTTATCAGAATACTAAATTCTTCAATCAAATACTTATCAAAGGCATTAAGTAAGAAAATATAAAATGATGCTTGTTCAGTACATACCGACAAAAACTTCACATTACATTTCAGTATCATCTATGAATAAACCGAATTATGCATCTTACGAGCTGAATATAAATTACGATTGACTAGTTAAATTATTACCTAATAAGTTGGTTATTTAAATAATTTCATAAGAAATCAAGTTCCTATTTTGCTTTTTTCCTTTACTCCAACAATTATGATGTCTTAACTGAAATTAAAGTAATATGATATTAAATTAGAAGCAATAATTCAGTTTAGGGTTCAAATAACCTGTTAAATTTATCATTCATGAAGGTGGCTATACGATTTCAAGTTTACAGCTTCCTAGAATGATTTTTGTGATCAGCAAATATTGTTACATTTTGGTACCTAACCTTTACAATCATATATATATATATATATATATATATATATATATATATATATATATATATATATATATATATATGGAATAAGACATTTAATTAAATGAATTTCTGTTATTTCATATAATTAAGCCTTCTTAAGTTTCAAAGTACATTCAAACACGTTTTTAAATGAAATACTGAAAAGTATTCTACTTTCAATAAATAAGTAGTACGTATGAACTTCTGAATGACTATAGTATCCAAACTATCACTTAAGTACATTTGGTATTGTTTGCTTGAATCTTCCCATTGATGTTTAGGATTGCACTTGATCATTCTCTTATTGACATATATGCATACTGTACCGATGGTCTCGATATTGCCTTAATTCATAAGCATTCTAAGCAAAGATGGATAGTGGCTAGCAGTGGAATCAAGGACGCGCGTTTCGTCCTATTTCAGACTCGTCAGCTGAATGTACCTATATCTCAGAGTTGATATTCACTGTGGGACTCGAACCAAGTACCATTCGTTACAGACGCCATCGCGTTATCCACTTAGTTACTGATTCCTGATAGCCACCTACTTGTGCAATAGGATGGATTTAAATTCACTTGGTATTGTTTACTTGAATCTAAAGTAATTATTAAATTAATGCAGACTCAAAATTGTATTGTATTATATCTTTATGAAAATAAATATTTAAGATACAGAAAAAATTTATACTCACTTGTTGAGTTATTTGCTCTCTAGCATTTTGAAAATCTGCATTTAATATGTCGAATTCAGCATTAATTTCAGCAAGCTCCCTTTCCGTCTAAAGTTAATTGTATACAATAATAAATATTAACTTTTATATTAATGCTATCAATTCAGTTTGAAGATTATTATTTTATTTTTAAAGTTTCGATTGTTAAGGTAGAATATAAAGATTGGTTCGCGGTATTATGTAATAGAAGAAATATGTTTTTTTATCACCTAAAAATTCATTCTTTTTTCAAGTATAGACTCCTAAAATCTGAGAAATTGTTTTATAAGAGTAAGTTATGAATTATCAATGATCATAGATAAGTTTCAAGGTGGTTGGTTAAAATGGTCAACAAATCTGTAGGTAGTGACACACTTTACTTTATGGTAGATAGTGAACATAATATCAAAACAGAGAAAGCTTTCACAGTTAAATATCAAGTTTAGAATGATTTCATAAAAGATTTAAGATTAACCCCCTTTTCTAAAGAGGAAGCTATTAATATCAGCTAGAAGAAACCAAACTTAAGTGTGAAACTATTTTTGTTCAAAAGGCCCCACAATAAGGTTCTTCCATATTGAACACGGTCAATATTATCAACATACACTATTAACCTTTACTCTCTCTCTCTTTTGTGTATATCTTTATTCTACATCTTTCTAAGACATATTATTAATTGCATGTTTATCTTCTTTAGTTCATATGTTATTTTGGTGTTAGCAACTCTTCATCTCATTATCATAATCATTACACAAATTAACATGACATATTGCATATATCCTCTACAGTTTTAATCTACTGATTTGAACTCATTACCTTAAGGTATATTTTTTCATTTGCCATCTTATCTGACATTTCAACTTTATTAATGATGCTTTTGGTTAGTATTTAAGACATAGTTCATATGTAATTCACTACTATTTTATTAATAACACCAATTAATCCAATCAACACTTTTAAATGTGTACCCTAAAATACAATCATTTGTAACACTATATTTACAGATTTATCACTATAGAATAGTTCACTGAAAACAATCCTTCACTCAGATTTTGGATTTTGAATATGAATATATTGCTAATGTCCTCTCTAACTATGTAGATTTTGCTCGTATTTGCAAGTAAAGACATAGAAGAAATATTTTTAGATTTGGAAATTCATTTTTACTAGATGTCTAAGGATCTATTTCATTCACATATTTAATGACACGTTGTTTATGGAAATTAATTTCAACAATTCACAGTGTAACATAGATGTCCTATGCAGCAAAGCTGTGAATAGCCTTGATTAAGAGGAACTTGTTTTCTGTATCCATAAAGAATAAGCTTCCCCATTTGGTCGCCTCCATACGCATCTACCAGTTCACCTGCTCTTGTGGAGTATGGTACATAGTCTGTATCCAGTGATCGCTTTGAACTTGGATACAAGAACATGTCCCAGCGTGGTTCTGCAGGGGTGAACACATACAATCTTTTATTGTTATTATTCATATTACGTAATTTTGTGCATAATCTTTCTATTACATCTTCATGCTTACTACTTGTTCATATATCCTCACAGAACTAGTAGTTTAACAAAAAAATTTCGCATATATACGATTGTACAACTCCATAATAAATTTGTTGAAAAGAGATTCCTTCGCTAAACTTAATGTTTTTAATATAGATGTGAAACATATGCCTGGATTATTGTATTTTTATCACTACTGGTGGTTGCGCAATATCCGAAATTGACCAAAGTTGGAAATGCAAATCATCGGATGTTAACTTAGCAGTCTAAAGGCTAAACGATTTCCGAGAGGCATGAAGGTTTTGGGTTTGGTCGTTGGTCAGGCCATGAGTGAGTTCGGCTGTGAAATTCCATACGAGGATTCACCGGTTCCCATGTTTTTCCTGGTTTTCAGTATTTGTCTAACTACAGTCAGTCTGTAATGTTAAACTACAAAAGAACTGGTTTCTTTGACATTAGGAATATTTAACAAATATTAAGGAAATTCCAGTCTCCATTAAATTATTCTTATTCGGTATCTGTGATGTAATTTGATGATAAAACTAACCATAAAAAAGTTAGAGAAGAGATCGATAATAAACAGAAAAAATTTCATATCATGCCTTGAATGAAAAATGTTCATCTTGGGATGATTAGTTCGGTTATTAGGCTCAATCTGAATTCTGACTTCACATTGAATGCATATCTATCCCAACAGAGTATAAATGAATACATCCAAAAATATCACTGTGCTATACAAATATAATAGAATGAAACTTTCAGCTAAGTGAAAGACTATAAAAAACCAAAATAATATACAATTCTTTAATTTGATCGGATACGTCACTACTACTAACTTGAAACAGAACTACCCATATCAGTACATACTATATTCCAACCATTTGAAATAACATAAATTGCGATGTATTATTTAGACTGAAAAGTTGCAATGACTGAAAGTTTCTCATTTTCTCCTAGTCTTTCTCTTACAATTTATTGTATTGAGCAAACGAGACGGTAGTTAATCAAACTTAAGTGTGCCAGCATTGATTAATTATTTGGATGATCCTTTTGTACTAAGATAATGCTTAAAGATCTTACAAATGTCTAGAACAAAGCACAATTTGAAGAAAAGTCACAAGAATTTAGCCAAACTGATGCATTAAATTGAAAATGAAAACTGGGATGGTAATATTATGTATCCAGTATAAGATAAATGTCCAGAGGACTGGTTAATTCTACACGCCTATATTAATTTTAAATCATGAGCGGTTCATATTCTGTGTTGAATCAGTAGAATAATATGTACACGATAAATTTCTATGATCTTACACATATAAAATAAAATTTACACTGGCTAGGCATAAAAAATATACAAGTATTACAAAACTCCATCTAAACAGAAAAGACTTAAGAAAAGTTCATTTACTGTCACACATACATTTTATTCAAGATAACTTTTAGTAAAGCAAGCATCACACAGAATGACTCTGATTTTTCATTTCTGCTTGTAACCAATTGTTCTAATATTTTCAATTTTAAGAATGGTCGAAATCTGATTGCCCTCACTTATGTTCTTGTTCACTACAATATGATGAGGCCTCCATCACTGTTCAATAATATATATCGTTTACAATCGATTAGTCTCAGAAGGGGGTCTTGTGAATCTTATAGTAATTTCATTAGTTGAGATTATGAGTCAATTGGAGCTAGACCACCCTAGTCACTCTTTTGATCACATTAATCGCATATAATGAACATGGAAATATGGATCAGTCTTATCATAACAATAGTAATCGTTATTATTATTATTATTATTATTATTAGTAGTAGTAGTAGTAGTAGTAGTAGTAGTAGTAGTAGCAGTAGCAGTATTACTTTTAAGCAACGAACAACAACAAATATTGAAATGAAAAATATTTCAGTTGGTCAAATAAATCACTGTCGAAATTACAAAATCGCAAAACTACTTTTGTTGTTGTTCTTTTCACTTTACAAATTGTTAACAAAAAATACCCCTAAATGTTACATTAGATTTCATGCTGATTGTCATCATAAATGTCAGTACTAAGTCACACTACATGTTTTTTTTTCTTAACTTTTATCTTATAATTTCCACAGGAAAAATTACCATTCAAATGACAATCTTATTCAGATAGAAAATGTTTGAAGAATAGTTAACGTTTAAAGATAAGCCAAAGTAATAATTAAGGTTAGATGAATGAAGGAAAACGACAAACTTTGGAAGCTATTTTTGAGATCAATAATTATATTTTTAAAGTACATTTATCAAATACTCATTCTATAATGTTTTCGGATCTTTCTAATTATAAGCTCTCGTTTGACTAATTATTAACTACTGTTATTATCTTTTTTTCCCATTCTAAACATGTCGTTAATAAGTAATAATCTTATTTTTGAGTCAGATATACAGTGGTTACATAGTGTGTATTATTTCCCCATTTTGAGCGGGTCTTACGGAACGAGATTCTCTGTGAAACAATGAGTTATATTATGTTACTTAGTTAGGCATCAGTATTACTGTTTTAAGCAAAGTAGTTTGAGATTATAGGAATAACGTTCAACAAACAATAATTAAACATGGATATTTTTATTACTAAACTATGCTTTTATAATACAGTGCTGTAGTGGACTTTGTCACTTGTTTTCACTGATAAACCTTTCATAACATTTCATGAGATCGAAAAGGGATGATAATAAAATACATTTGAGTAATTAATCGTAAATCGTATATATATAACGCTGTTATGTAATAACTAGGCTCAATTAAACACCTGATGAAATTTTCAATGGATTACATGATATCATAAACTGAGCATATGCCAGTTAAAAATAAGTAATTGACACGAATTTCAGCTACAACAACAGGAATAAACAATATCTTTATCAACGAAAATCTTCAAAGAAGATAACTTCATGACTTATTGACAAGTGATATGTTCCAATTCTAGTAAAAATTTTTATAAGAACCGTTAAGTAAATAGTTTTTAAAATACATTTTAATCATACCTTTATTCGTAGAGAACGTTCTTCATCTAATTGATCTTCAAGATCTTTCACTCTTGTCTACAATATAGAAAAATACAAAAGTGAACATTATGGATGATAATGTAAAATGATGATTAAACAGCGTATTTGACTCTTTTTTTAGTAATTATTCAATGATATTCATCTTTAGATTTGTTAAAACTAAACTCTGGTTAATTATTTAGTTTATTTTATGTGGTTGAACGATATGTATTATTTTGTTTTCGGCTTTTGTTGATCAGTATACAATTTGATTTCATTATTAAAAATACCTTTGAACCATGCCTACTACAAAGCGAAGATGGATGTTGATCAGCAGTGGAATCTAGAACGAGCGTTTCGTCCTGATCGGGTCTCATCTGTCGGACATACCTGCATTCCGGAGTTGACATTCACTCCGAAAATCGAATCCAGTACTGTCTGCTTCAAATGCCATCACGTTATCTACTTAGCTACTGAGTCCTGACAGCAACTAGTCCCATATAGGACGAAATGCGCGTTCTGGTATCCATTGCTATCCACTATCCATCTTTGCTGATAATGTTTATGAATTAAGGCAATATCGAGACAATCAGTACAGTATGCACATATGTCAATAAGAGAATGATCAAGTGCAATCCTAAACATCAATGGGAAGATTCAAGTAAACAATACAAAATGAATTCATGCTTAATAATATTTTATGATTTCTATATTTTATATCGTTCACCATATGAGAAATTTGGAAAAGTAAAGTATACATCATATTTTCAAAGTAGATTTAGTATTCATTTTAAAATATTCATTCACATGAATACTTTTTTGAATCCCTTATTATATGAATAACTTCATATGCATTTGTCATACAATGTATTTTTGCATATAGATAACCCTTTATCTTACAATATCAAAGCAGTTAGCTTTGATTTACAATTTTAAGGATCGGTTAAATTATAATTATGTTTCTGTAATGTTCCAATAAGGTTAATGAGTGGTAATTTTTGGGATCCATTTGTGGATCAATACTATACGTATATTTTCATAGTATAATTGTTGGATAACTAAACTATTCATATTCATGTCCCTCTTATCATGAGCTTTATTTTGACCTATGAACTATTATTATACGATTTACCATTCTTGAATTATACCCTGTCTATTAATCACTTCTTTCCATGTTCACAGCCACATTTGGCCAAATCTTGTATAAATGTTGTTTTCTATTTTATGGTACGATATTGTCTGTCTGGTTGGTATATAAACCCAGTATGTTTGAAATAAATGATTCATATTGCAGAGGCTGAGATTGGTGTTCTGGACTTGATTGGCTGGACTAGGCGGGAAGCAGGACCAATAAGGACTGTAGACTGTTCGCACGGGTTTTAGGCATCATTGGTCCGATCGATAAGTCACTGTTCGGTATCGTCACATTATACATGAACAGGGCACACAGGTCACAAGTCATAGCAGTTTCTAACACACTCTACATAAACAAACAAAATCAAATTTTCATGAATTTCATGTACTTAAGACAACATCCAAAAAAAATCTTTTTTTCTACAAATAAACGGCTGTAAATACATTGCCATATGGACTGTTAGGATTTTGGATAACCGACATGTTATAAAAACATTGAAATAAAACTAGAATTTAATTATAGTCCAAACTAGATCATTTTAATACAGTTGAATAGTTTTGCAAAATGTACTTTGAACTAACATAATGTCAAATTTTTTGTTGCTATGTTCTTTTGTTTAAAAAAAATTATTATCCACTAAGTTCAAGTATTTTATTTGTCAACTCGGATTAAAAACTTTATATTATATTATTATAAACAGATAATTATTACAATAAATCCTAATATTAAGGTGGAAAATACTTCTACTAAACTAAATGTTTGCCATGGTAACTTACGCTTAACTTTAACTAGATGAAATATACATAAGTTTTTCATTAGATAATAAAAAATAACACGATCAAACTATCCAGCTCAAAGAAAAAAATCCATCAACAGAAAATGTATTTAACTAAATAATAAAGTTTATCTTCTTGAAGAATTGAAATAAACTGTTTTTTTTTAAGATGTTCAGTTTGGTGTCTACTGAACTGGAATTAATGAATTGTCTATAGACCACTCACAGTATATTGAAACAGTTCATATTGATTATTTTTATAGTTGAAAAATTCCTATCTATTATTTAATTTCAGAAGGGGTTTTGTGAGTATTATGGTAATTTCAATGGTTGAGATCATGACTGCTGAGGAGTCCCACAATAGGACGAAACGGCCACCCAGCGCTTCCAGGTTTTCCACGGTGGTCTAGCTTCCAATGGCTCATGATCTCAACCGTTGAAATTATTATCTAACTTCATAAACTTGTTAGCGTATTAGTTAGATGTATTTACAATAACCTTCATTCATACAGTTTGGACAAATCATACATCATAATCATTAATTATTTCATAATCATATCTGCGATTTTCGCCACCAGAGATTTTACAATTAATCTGATAATTACTCTACACATTTGTCTTCTGAGTATTACCTATGCTTCTTGAGAAATCCACTTACCATTAAACATAAACACAGATGTAAAACAAGATTTTTAAAAAATAAAATAAAATATTACCTAACATAAACTATTGAAATTGAAATAAAACTTAGATAATTGAAGTTTTGGAACTGGAAAATTCTAATTAATAGATCTGAACTTATGTTAATTGAACTATATAACCTAACTGATTACTAATTCATTCCCCTAGTAAAACTGAGATGGTAGTTAAGTCTTGTAGTCATCCGGTTGATAAAGTGCTAGATCATTCACTTGAACATAATAGATTAGATACCTTGCCACAATCCAAGTTTTCCATTAGCTAAACTCATTCTTCATAAGGAAATCAATCTATCTAAACATTCATTAGATATGTAAGACATATATGTTAAAACAATATAATCATCAGCGTGAATATTAACAAGAAAATAGAAACTTTTACGTTAAACTTGCAAATAATTTTAAAAAACTAACTAGATAATTGAAATCCACTTGGTATTGCTTACTTGAATCTTCCCATTGATGTTTAGGACTGTGATTGATCAGTCTCTTATTGACATATGTGCATACTGTAAAGATGGTCTCGATATTGCCTTAATTCACAAAAATTATAAGCAAAGATGAATGATGCATACCAGTGGAATCCAGAACGCGCGTTTCGTCCTATTTGGAGCTAATGGCTATCAGGACTCAGGAATTAAGTAGGTGATGCGATGGCATTTGAAGAAAAACGGTATTGGGTTTGATTTCCGGAGTAGATGTCAACTCTGGGATGCAGGTACGAGACGCGCGTCCTTGATTCCACCGCTAGCCACTATCCATTATTGCTTATAACTAGATAATTATTTATTACATAGATTCCAATGTCCTAACTTCCTCTGTATCATTAAGATAGCATCCATGTTTTCATGTTCGTCAAAGTTCTTTCTCTTATTCAACATGTAATGAAAAAATGAATTTTCTTTCTCTTATTATTGGAAGAAAAAACAAACATTAGGACTAAATAGTGATAATGATTCAAATATGTTAATCCGTTACAATCATGTTATATTAATCAATATCTTAATAAAGTATTTGCATTACTCACTTTACAATATAATCCATAAAGTTTACTCTTCAAAGAAATGGTCGAATATTTAAAGAATGTCAACTGTTGGTAGCAAATGTTGATGTTAATGAACAAAATAATTCAGATAATCTGATAAAATGAATTTTTCACTTGAAAAAAGTATCTTGGTTGTATTTTTGTGGCCCAATGATCTGACTCTGAGTTAGGTGAACAAATAAATATGCAATCAATTTTCCATTTAATTCCGTATATTACTCTTAAGCTAACCCGGTTTGTGAGACGGTGGTAATCAGATGTCAAATGTGGATTCAATCGGATGAGTTTATTTCATGCACTCATTCAATCAGGCAGATATTAATAGTGAAAACCGGAGGAGTCGAGCATGCAAACTCCATTTGAAAAGTCATGACCTATTATTTATAGCCAGACAAAAATATACTAAAGAAATGTGATGAGTAGCATAAGCGATACATACATATACGCTCAAACAAAAACAGTCACGCTTATAAGCAAATAATTGATAAGGTCAAAATGTGACTTAAGATCAAATTAATTAGTCTGTCCGAAAACTCAAGTGGCCCATGTATGCATGATTTAGTACTAGACTCTACAGTACAACCACAGACTTTTTCTGGTATTTCAGAGAAAAATCTGTTTGTTCCAAAAACTTTGTGTATTTTAGGATTTCCTATTAAGCAAAGATTATATAAACAAACACTGCAACAAGTTGAGCAACAGATTGGTTCAGTAAGCTATAGAGGAACTATGAGGTTACAATTTCCAAATCCTCTAACCCTATTGTCAGTAAAACTCGTACATAATGTCTTGGCATGTGTTATTAAGTTAACTTACCTCTAGTCTTATTGTTCCAGGAGATGAAGATCTATATAGACCTCGTCCCATAGTGATAGTCCTATCACGATCATCGAGTTGAATGGCAGCCATTATTCACTAGTGAACTATAAGGATCCTTCTTCAATTCGAGTTTAGAAAAAAACAATCACCGAAAACCTCGAATTTCAATGCTTAGTTTAGAAAGTCAAAAGGATGAAAGTACTTGGTAATGTTATTATATGGATTTATTATGAACTTAAATCGTAACGATAAACAAATTTTTTATGACTTATTTTGATGGTGGTTAACTTATTGATTTGTCATTGGGATAGTAATTTGGGGCTGTCTAAATATTAAATAACGGATTAGTTTCCAAAATTCACCCCTTAGTACTTTTTTTTCAGTGGTTTATCTGTAACACTAGTAGCACATGTGTGTTTTGCACGTAAATCCCCCATATATCTCTCACCTCTCATCGTATACAACTTCCAACTTTACTTAGCTCTTCCTATTCGACCAGTCATTGTACCCCGTCAGCCATTTAAACTAATCAATTTTTCTATTGGTTGTTCAGAATTTCACAGTCTGACTTCCTATCTTGAAAGGTAGGATAAATGATGGAACAAAATATTTAATCGATAATATGATAGACACATTCGATCCTTCCGTATTACTAAACAAAAAAATGTTCATTTAAGCACATTCATTATGAATTACTACTTCCTTAATCAGTCGTAAATCAATGGTGCTAAAACCATTCATCACGTTGGAATGACGTTACAATTTAGGCAATCTAAGGAGAAGAATTTTATAAGAAATATGTGGTATATGAGCACGATGCATTTCAAACTATTTGATCATGTACTAAGTTGTTAGTCTCTTAAAATATTTTGGTTCTGAATACCCTCATTTATATGGATTGCCTGAAATTCACAAAAACTGACAATCCTCTACGTCTGATTTTACGTTGTACTGGTTACCTACAAATAATCTTGTAAAATAGTTACCAAAACTACTGAAACCTATTCAAAGATGTTTATTTAAATATTATCTGAAGGAGTCGTTTGAGTTGACAGCTTACTCAGGTAATATCAATGCTAGAAAAAAGACAATATGTCCTTTCGATGAGAACTCTACTTAACCCAACAATATTGGATATCTATGAAAGTTTAGTAACTGTTTGAAGGGTCATCCTATATTGAGATAGATTATGCTTTTGGCACCTAAGTAGTTTGTCTCAATCACATAGCCATTCAGAACTTTGTGGAATAGCGTTGTGTGGAATCGATGGTCAGTAGAATGTTTTATTCAGCCAAGATCATTATTACTCAGAAAGTAACGCCCATGCTTAATCAAATACCTAAACAGCAAGTAAACGATTACGTGACCAAATGAAGCTTTCTGTTTAAGCTTTCTAGTCTCAGCTACATTAAATCATTAAACGATTTGAAACTAAATAAATTATAAACATTTATAAATCTTACAAGAGAAATATATAGCAATTTCAAAGGTTATTTAACTTAATATTTATTGATACAAGATTTATTATTTATCAAAGACTGGGGAATATTACCAAGAATCAGTAGTTTAATCTAAATTATAGAATTATTTTTTTTAAACAAAATAGCTTTTATTGAAGTTGGGACGTCATTCTGTTATTACTCATTCACTCAGTAACTAGTGTCAAGTGAATACAGTTCACTATCAAAAATGAATAATTTATGGTAAAAACCAATTCTTATACACAGAACTATTCCTTCAACAATCCTAGTTAGAATGGTGTAGGATAAATATTCGTTTATTATTACTTGAAGAAACATACCACACTAAGAATTATGGTAAAAGTATCCTTTCTCCCAACTGAATGTTAACATAAAATGATTACTTTTTGGTGTGTTGTAAATGGAGCATTCAAGATTTGTATTAATTTTTCATGAGCCATATATTCAATGCTGCTTAAGTGGTCAACTTGAAATATATTCAAAAATAGACACCTTTTTGTGGCTGTGTTCCATCGATTAATATGTACATAATAAATATCTGATTACGTAATTACAATTATCTTTGCTTATAGCCTCATGATTTCCGAGAATTAAATTAATATTGATTGATATGAAGAAAATGAATTAGTAAGTTATAAGTGACGATAAATTTTATCACTAACCAGTTCAGAAATGAAATGTTATAAATATTTGAATAATTTCTCACAATGTAGTGCATTATACACATTGTTTTGTTATCAATAATGCTTTAACAAACTACTCTGATTGTGTTTTATTCAAGCTTGGCAGCAAAATTATAAATATAGGCTATTCAGGTAATATATATCTTGCGTATTACCAAGCAACTCGATCGTCATAGTCGGTAGCTTTCTTTAGTGAGCGATATACTTTCAGTATGCGTTATTTTTAATGATTTGAATCCTCTTCGAAACAATTTATAAAGGTCTTATGGAGATCCTGAGCTGTCATTATATATGAATTACTAAAATCAAATGACACAGGGAAATAACAGAATAGCATATTTGTGTGTAATGAATAAACTTATTTTGTAGATAATTTTTTCCATCGCTAACATTTTTTGTCAATCCATTTAGTTTGTGCAATCATTGTCATTGACCAAAAGCTTGCTGGATACGTTTAACTTAGACTTTCGCGGCACCCCTTTTTCGTTTCACTTACATGACAAACTGATTGTTGTTTACAAATGCACATCTGGTGCTGTACTCCTTGTTCTTAGATATAACCAGCTGTCATATTGACAGGCCATCAATACAATTATCACGTATATTTACACATCAATTTTTTCCTCATTATGGAATTAAATCTGCCATATTAATGAGGATTATTTGCTACATTCGGATTTATTAATTATACAATAGAATTGTGAATCTACTGACCAAACCACACTTTTTTTCATTGACAGAAAATGTAATATCTAATTTGTTATCCGCGCACTTTATGCTTTTGTATATAATCGATTGATTGTACATTTCACTCACTTTTGTATCTGCATGTTTCTGGACCATCACAACTACATCAACACACGATAGCCAAGGTGAATTGCGTGTCATTTTTTAAAATTGATTGAGTTGAAGCTAGTTACTGAGTTTTAACAAGTAGTATAATTACTATACAAAAATAGTCTGATAAAAGAGTTAAGAAACAAACAGATTTAACAATGTGTTGTTCAACATCTTCCGATCTTACTAAGATTCTGTGATAGACCCAAATCAGGACAACGTTAGGGGAAGTAGTTCTGCCATGTAATGTTGATGGCAAATCATGCTAATATAAAATTAAATATTGTTCATGAACCGTTACGTCCAATCAGTGCTTAAGATCACATGAGTCCAGGCCATAGTTTTATTTAGCAACCACTTAGATTAGAGAATCCCATTTTGTAACCAGATTACCCGATGATTGTTAAATGTATAATATAAGTATAAATTCCCTCCTTGAGGATTCCGATCTATCTAAGAGAGATTTAAAAGTTGAGCCTGGACGGGTAGTGCAAACTATGTATAAAAGGTACAAACATACATACATACTATCCAATTATTCCCGGAATGTTGTAATGTCTGTCAGTCTGTAGATGTTTTTTGATAGAATGTTTACTACCTAAACCTAGAGGATGGCCATCTCCATCAAATATGTATACAAGGTATTTAACAGACCCAAGTAAAAGTTTATATTTTTTCCTTTGGCAAGTACTAGGTCCAATCAACTCCTTAGATCTTCCTCGGTTGAACCAGTAACTCTAATATCGTCCAGACAATCCAATTTATACTCCAGATCCGATATCATAGTAGTCATGATCTGTGGAAGATTTCTGGTTCCGGTTTTACGCCGAATATGAGTGCAACTGATGGAGTCCACGTTGTGTATTAATAATTAGAGAATTCCTTTAATCTTTATCAGCTCCCACTTACAAGTAAACTACAGATAAATCAAATTTTGGAAAAAGTATGCCATTTTGTAGAACAGACAAAGTCCCTGCCAGGGGTAGAGGATATAAATGATTTTATAAAACAACATTTAAACAGTCAAAAAGTCCACACAAAGACGAACAATTCAATTTGCGTTCTAAACTACTACAACTGCTCGGGTTGAACAATATCCGGCTGTATTCCACTGAGCTTGTTTATTCAGTCTAAATCATTACCAACTTTGTCAATAACGGCAAATAGGACTCGGTGTTTTGGACGAAAAATGGGTTTCACACCTCGTCGTATGTATGATTTCGCCTTTGCAATTGTGCAACACCACAAATTGTCCTTGTTGCATCCGAAGAAAATCAAGTTATGGGTCACTTCAGGGAACTATTGATGTACTGTATTATATATATCCTTATGGTATAACTGCTAAGTGACTAGATTATATATATTTATATTCCTTTATTCATAAGCCTCCATTTGTCCCATTGACTACTATTATACGATTTACTATTCCTAAGTTATTCCCAATTTACTAGTTACAGTCTCTCGCAATCATAGCCGCTTTTTTGCTTGATCTTATATAATTGTTATTTTCTATTTTATAATGTGATGTGGTCTGGTTTGCTTGTATAACAACCAAGAAGGTCTGAGATATATGACTCATACAATGGAAGCTGATGTTGGGTGTTCTGGTCTCAATAGGACCAATAAGGACCCTGGGCTTTTCGTACCGGTCAACGCGTCATTTGTTTGGTATAGTGCTAAGATTGTGTGATTGGCGAATTGTAACGCATGATAACTAACAGGATCAAAAGACACAACAGTCCTGGAACAGTTTTGTATGTTTTCTGAAAAGGTGTTCTTCCGTTACGGCTTTTTTTAGTTACGTGGATGATGGGTAGATCTCTAGAATTATTTGAAATTTTTATCATATACATATCGCTCAGAGACAAACCCTATAGATTCCGTTTACTTATCTGATCTATACCAATAAGGTCTAAATTACATCTACACGTTAAATAGCAATTTCCCGCAAAGTAATTATCTAGAAACTTAATGGTTCATTTCACTTTTCCAACAGACTTTAATATATTTCGGACTGTTTGATTGATATTACTCGCGGACTAACCACTGAATTCCATGGCCTTTAAGTGATTAATGTGACATTTAACCTCGTATCTAATTATAATTGAATATAAGCACTGCTGTCCAATAAGTCTACACATCGTCGTTAATCAGCTATATTTAATGCAAGTGTAGCTTATATACTTGCTCTGACAATGGTGAAAAGGCTTTGTTGACTTTGACCTCAAACCACCTCTATCTCGGCAAACTGTTTACGGTAGACTTTACCCACCTTGCTCATCTATGATTTCTGAAATCCCAAAATTCTGAAAAGTGCCTCACCACCGTACTAACATATCA